CTGGCCATAGTTAGTACCTAGCAACCTCTTCTGGCCATAGTTAGTACTTACCAACCTCTTCTGTCCATAGTTAGGACCTACCAACCTTCCTCTGTCCATAGTTAGTCCCTAGCACCCTCTTCTGTCCATAGTTAGTACCTACCCACCTTCCTCTGTCCATAGTTAGTACCTACCAACCTCTCCTGTCCATAGTTATTACCTACCAACCTCTTCTGTCCATAGTTAGTCCCTACCAACCTTCCGCTGTCCATAGTTAGTACCTAGCAACCTTTTCTGTCCATAGTTAGTACCTACCACCCTCTTCTGTCCATAGTTAGTACCTCCCAACCTTCCTCTGTCCATAGTTAGTCCCTAGCACCCTCTTCTGTCCATAGTTAGTACCTTCCAACCTCTTCTGTCCATAGTTAGTACATACCAACCTCTTCTGTCCATAGTTAGTACCTAGTAACCTCTTCTGTCCATAGTTAGTACCTACCAACCTCTTCTGTCTTACCCTAACCCTAACCCTAACCCTAACCCTAACGTGTCTGTCCCTAGTTAGTACCTACCAACCTCTTCTGTCCATAGTTAGTACCTACCAACCTCTTCTGACCATAGTTAGTACCTACCAACCTCTTCTGTCTTACCCTAACCCTAACCCTAACCCTAACCTTAACGTGTCTGTCCCTAGTTAGTATCTACCAGCCTCTTCTGTCTTAGAAGTTTACATCTGAGTATGTTGTTCCGTATAAGTTCAAAAGTATTGATTACTGCCAGCCATGTCATATTTCGAATAAACATTTATAAGTATAGCAGTATTGATTACATGTGTCTATCAAGCTCTGTAATTGTTCTTTTAAAGTTATTGATCAGTGCATCGTTTGAATATATTGCATATTAGTGGAATATTCAAATCTGACACCATCGAAAATTTTGAAATTTTCAACTAATTCTAATACTAATAAAGATTTTCTTTATATTTTACAGGCGCCTTGCCTTATAAACAGGTCGGGATATGTGTCCACTAGAAATGGTTTGAAGCTTTTCATGAAACGTTAATTGAAACTTAGGTTTACCGTCAATTAACATTACATATATCAAACAAAAAAATGCCATCACGTAGAATAAATATAAGTGAGGATGTATGATTATTTCTATTTTTTCTGCTTCATAAAACAATACAAATAGCACACGCAGATTGACTGTCAGTAAAATTGATCTGATTATCGTTGAAAACGGTGTATAATATGTTTGCAAAAACTTTTCTCAAACAAAAAGGATATGTATAAAATAGGATGAGCTGTGCAGCTCTTTATAAGTTTTCGTTGTTTATAAAAAAATAATAGGACGGATGAGTGTAAAACGGGTTGGTCTTTGTTTGTTCAGTGGTAAGGATAGAGAAGACATATGATGTTTGTTTGATAACACGCAATACTTAATTAAGACAAGGTCTACATGAACGGACAAAATATGTAGGAGTGTGCACTTACTAAATCAAGTATAAATACTCTATAGAAATGTATATAAATCATGATTTTTTATCGAATGGTGTTTCGTTATAATTGACAAATCCCAGTCATAGAATCATTAAACTGTTAAACAACCATCGTGTAGGTAAATCTGTATGTTATAACAGTCATCGTTTAGGTAAATCTGTATGTTATAACAGCCATCGTTTAGGAAAACTCGTATGTTATAACAGCCATCGTTTAGGTAAATCTGTATGTTATAACATTCAACGTTTAGGTAAATTTATGTGTTATAACAACCATCGTTTAGGTAAATCTGTATGTTATAACAGCCATCGTTTAGGAAAACTCGTATGTTATAACAGACATCGTTTAGGTAAATCTGTATGTTATATCAGCCATCGTTTATGAAAACTCGTATGTTATAACAGCCATCGTTTAGGTAAATCTGTATGTTATAACATCCAACGTTTAGGTAAATTTATGTGTTATACATGTAACAACCATCGTTTAGGTAAGTCTGTATGTTATAACAGCCATCATTTAGGTAAATGTGTGTGTTATAACAACCATCGTTTAGGTAAACCTGTATGTGATAACAATCATCGTTTGGGTAAATCTGTATGTTATAACAGCCATCGTTTAGGTAAATTTGTGTGTTATAACAGCCATCCTTTAGGTAAATCTGTATGTTATAACAGCTATCGTTTAGGTAAATCTGTATGTCATAGCAGCCATCGTTTAGGTAAATCTGTATGTTATAACAGCTATCGTTTAGGTAAATCTGTATGTTATAGCAGCCATCGTTTAGGTAAATCTGTATGTTATAACAGCCATCGTTTAGGTAAATCTGTATGTTATAACAATCATCGTTTAGGTAAATCTGTATGTTATAACAACCATCGTTTAGGTAAATGTGTGTGTTATAACAACCATCGTTTAGGTAAATCTATGCTTAGGGTTTGGTTATGGTTAAAAAATTGGAGATATTTCTCGAGTTTGATTGATCTTCAGTGGCTATGAGAGATCATTGAACTCATGGCCGGTTGGTTTTTATTTAAGTTTGTTCAGTGGCTATGGATATTGGGAAACGTATGATATATCGGTTGTTGACGGATTGTTGTGTCAACTAGTGGATCATATTTTGTTTCCTGAAAAGTCAGTTTTACGTTTGAACAGTAATACACGTTATATGTTCTCTCCACTGATTAAACACCTACGGATTTAATATGAATCGTGAAAAGAAATGCTAAGTGAAGCTTTCATTGTTAAATGGCCAATGATTGATAACTTCGTGCCATAAACTCCTCTTGGGAGGATCTATATCGGGACAAACGTTTACAATTACTATCGCGCGTCTAAACTTTATGACAAACGAAACGACTTCAATTTCAAGGTGGGTAATGTTCTGTTCCTTATTAATAGTGCCATCAGGGACAAGTGTCACTTTTCTTCATTGTCATTACTGAGAGCCAGTCTCAAGACTTCATATTACAGTAACCAGTCACGTGATCTATCTAAAGTAAACTTGATTGATATGTTGTGCAATAGATATGGAACATCAATTTATATAAACCCATTTTTCGGGGACTCGAGCCCTTGACGTCTTTAGATCTATCTGAGCTAAAGAAAACTCCTTCTTGCCGAGTCAGTAGTGATTGGCTGGACGGTTCGTCCATCTCCTGGAAAGTTCACCTCCTCGAATCATCCATAGAACAATCTTGCATCTGAGACATTGTTATAAAAAATATGTTGTAGGGTACTCGGATCCCTAAATTACGTTGGTACCTATTTATCCCATTTAAAGAAAATGGCAATACCTTTATTTTTGTTGTGTCTTTCAATCCTGGTGTTGTTTATCATATCGAATTTCAGTTTCTTTTTGTCGGTTTATGAACTATTTTCTTAAAGATGTATTTATCCGTCCAATACTGGATTGATATCAATACAGTATACGATTGAATGTACATTATTATAACATTGTTGCTGTAATGTTAGTTTATATCACTGCAAACTCCGATTTGCCATAAATTGTGATTATAACACTTAAACTCCTATTTACAATAATGCGTGTTCATAACACTGTTACCTCATTTACCTGAATGTATATTCATAACACTGTTTACTATGATGTGTTAATAACATTGCTAACTTCCATTTACCATAAAGTATGTTTATAACACTGCTAATTCCCATTTACCATAAAGAATGTTTATAACACTGCTAACTTCCATTTACCATAATGTGTGTTTATAACACTGCTATTTCCATTTACCATAAAGTATGTTTATAACACTGCTAACTTCCATTTACCATATTGTGTGTTTATAACACTGCTAACTTCCATTTACCATAATGTGTGTTTATAACACTGCTAACTTTCATTTACCATCAAATATGTTTATAACACAGCTAACTCCCATTTACCATAAAGTATGTTTATAACACTGCTAAATTCCATTTACCATAATGTGTGTTTATAACACTGCTAATTCCCATTTACCATAAAGTATGTTTGTAACACTGCTATTTCCATTTACCATAAAGTATGTTATAACACTGCTAAATCCCATTTACCATAAAGTATGTTTATAATACTGCTAATCCCCATTTTACCTAAATGTGTGTTTATAACACTGCTATTTCCATTTACCATAAAGTATGTTTATAACACTGCTAATTCCCATTTACTATTATGTATGTTTATAACACTATTAATTCCCATTTACTTTAATGTATGTTTATAACACTGCTAATTCCCATTTACCATAATGTGTGTTTGAAACACTGCCAACTCCCATTTACCATATTAAGTGTTTGTAACACTGCCAACTCCCATTTACTATAATTTGTGTTTGAATCCCTGCCAACTCCCATTTACTATAATGTGTGTTTGAAACACTGCCAACTCCCATTTACCATATTGTGTGTTTGTAACACTGCCAACTCCCATTTACTATAATGTGTGTTTGAATCACTGCCAACTCCCATTTACTATAATGTGTGTTTGAAACACTGCCAACTCCCATTTACCATATTGTGTGTTTATCACTGCCAACTCCCATTTACTATATTGTGTGTTTGTAGCACTGCTAACTCCCATTTACCGTATTCTATGATTATAATTATGTTTTAGCATCTTTAGCTCATGCCTGTTAATGTGTCCTTGTCTGTATGTTTATCACAACGTTACTATCTCCCATTAAAGATTATGGTCGTAAACTGATGCACATTGTCTGTAGCTTTTATAAACGAATGAAGTTAAAATATATCTTCTTACAGGTTTAGGTTTTGATCGACATTCATATTAACATGATACAGTCTTAAAATTTTAAAACCGATAAAATCTCATTAAACATGAACATCTCCCATCAAATAAAGGTCAACAGTAAGATAATTGTAAACTCATCACCTACAAGTTTATAACGAGACTGTTTTGATGTCTGGTCCGTAGTTAACCCCTGGCTGTATCGTCACTGTACCACGTGGTGACACATACCAGTACCTAAACTGTAACACTGATGCTAATACAATTTTTTTTTTTCATTTCAGATTAGGGTCTTAACGTCGGCCTAAGGAGTAAGTGGTTGCCAATGTCACATGATTTATAACCAGTTCGCACTCGATTCGCCATTCATCAACACTATTCTCTTATGAAACTAATTTAAAGTCACCCCAATGACTATAACACGAGGCTGACAGGTGTCTGTATAGACGTGTACCATATGAATCGTACTATATGTTATCTGTACCATGTATACCTATATTACAATAGGAACTTAAATACGTCCGTTCAAATACATACACGAGGTACTCCTGCCATTAGGTTAACCCTCTCACAGGTGAATACCATATATTGAAGCAAGGGTGGTTAATACAGTGATCGATCTGTGTCAAAGTGCAGGCGTGTTAATCGATACACACACAGCAACAAAATTAATGATGGGCATTCAAGCCGTACCAACTCAGTCGGGCGCAAGGCATTCGATTGATACAAGCATTCTGAAGAGTAAGACTGGGTATGCCATATTAAAGGGAGGGAAGTTCTACGATCAGACACTTACCAAGCGGCTCGATAGACTGGGGAAGGATGTGCGCGTGGAGCTCAGAGCGTTAGACAGCCAGCGTAAGGCACTGCTACACAGAATGGACAAGTCAAGGAAGAGGAGTGAAAATTTGGTACAGACTTATAGCCTGCCTCCTTTGAAACCATCGGGCACAAAACAAACGAAATCAACGTCGGAGATTAAAAGAGACAATGCCGATAAACGTTCGAGTAGACAAAAACATCGGGACTTACGGAACAGACAAACACGGGACGACACGGACCTACAGATCAGTGGTACACAGTATCCCGATATTGGCCATATGTTATCACCATCCAACGACGACGATGATGATTTCGATGATTTCAGAGGAACAATTTGTTCACCAGCACCATCTAGAAGTAATGGGGACTATGTGCAAAGCGAACCTAGGGGAGACCTACTAGATCAGACTCGACATCTTAGTTTAAATTCTTCAAACCCACATATCACTGTCGAAAAATGTGAGGAGGTATTCCCACCGTTACAGAAAAGGCAGCACTCACCTCCCGAGTACGCCCTTCAGAGGTCAGAGTCTCGGACTGGAAGTTCAAATAGTCTCGAGGTCCCGTCACCAATTATGCAGAGACGGTCTCTAGACGGTAAGATGGTGAGTGTCGTAGCTCCTATCAATATGTTCAGTTCTTACAGTAGGTCAGAGGGCAGTATACCGGAAGCGCTGAAGAGTGACCATTGTACAGATGATCCCCGTTTTCGGGGCCTGGAAGCCGTGCTTAGACCAGGCACGACAAGTAAAGTACAGATAAGGACACCGACCAAAATAGACATTGAGTTTCAAACTAAGTCAAGGTCACCATCTCCAAGACGGAAGCCTGGTGGGCGGCTTCTACGACGTGAGGACGAACGGGAGTACATGATGTCCTTGAACTCGAGGTCACCACCATGATAATTAGCATCGGCCGTGTTTTGGATTTTACTTCACCCAGCATTTTGCAATGGATCCATTTTGAAAACCTTGTCATGAGATTTGTGTTCTGGCAGACAGCTTTAATATGGCCCTGCTAACGACTTTGGAATAAATACAATGTACCTTGATATCACGGATATTCACTCCGTTCTGTGAAGTATGACATATCAGGTACGGAGTTTTATTGTATTGCATTGTTCGATTATTCCTTTGAGTGAAACTGCTGGGGAAAAGTCTTGTGGATTAGGGCACAAGATGCTCTCTTGAAAACACGTGTGTCTTACTCTCGCAAGACAAAACAAGGCAAATAGTTACAAGGATTACTCTATGAGAACCAATATGGTGAATGTTGTATAAATATATGATATTGTGCTTCTCGGCAAGTGATAGGCATTTTTTCTATCGCTAACAGAGAGTTGCTCACGAATACATTTGTTTACGTTACGTTCGTGTCATGTGATAGCTTAGTCACGGTAAGTGATCGTCGGATAAGGTGTTTATAAACAGCTGATCATTCTCGTCAGAACATTCACCCGCTTAACGTATGCATAAAGCATCATTTCTATACGTTTGAAAACTTCTACATTTGTACAAAGTTTCAATTAAACGTTTTATCCATATTTTCAAATTTGAATTATGTTAATTAAAGTTTTAAGAATGATTCGCGATGTAAGACAGATATGAAGAAGAATACTGAGAAACCAGTACATGTATCAGTATGTTGTGGTCTACACAGTGGTAAAGGACATCAGTATGTTGTTGTCTACACAGTGGTAAAGGACATCAATATGTTGGGGTCTACACAGTGGTAGAGGACATCAGGCTGTTGGGGTCTACACAGCGGTAAAGGACATCAGTATGTTGGGGACTACACAGTGGTAAAGGACATCAATATGTTGGGGTCTACACAGCGGTAAAGGACATCAGTATGTTGGGGGCTACACAGTGGTAAAGGGCATTATTATGTTGGGGTCTACACAGTGGTAGAGGACATCAATATGTTGGGGTCTACAGTAAAGGACATCAGTATGTTGGGGGCTACACAGTGGTAAAGGGCATCAGTATGTTGGGGTCTACACAGTCGTACACGACCTCAGTATGTTGTGGTCTACACAGGGGTAAAGGACATCAGTATGTTGTTGTCTACACAGTGGTAAAGGACATCAGTATTTTGGGGTCTACACAGTGGTAAAGTAAATCAGTATGTTGGGGTCTACACAGGGGTAAAGGACATCAGTATGTTGTTGTCTACACAGTGGTAAAGGACATCGGTATGTTGGGGGCTACACAGTGGTAAAGGACATCAATATGTTGGGGTCTACACAGCGGTAAAGGACATCAGTATGTTGGGGACTACACAGTGGTAAAGGACATCAATATGTTGGGGTCTACAGTAAAGGACATCAGTATGTTGGGGTTTACACAGTGGTAAAGGACATCAGCATGTTGGGGTCTACACAGTGGTAAAGGGCATTATTATGTTGGGGTCTACACAGTGGTATAGGACATCAGTATGTTGTGGTCTACACAGGGGTAAAGGACATCAGTATGTTGTGGACTACACAGTGGTAAAGGACATCATTATGTTTGGGTCTACACAGTGGTAAAGGACAGCAGTATGTTGGGGTCTGCACAGTGGTAAAGGACATCAGTATTTTGGGGTCTACACAGTGGTAAAGGGCACCATTATGTTGGGGTCTACACAGTGGTAGAGGACATCAGTATGTTGGGGACTACACAGTGGTAAAGGACATCAATATGTTGGGGTCTACAGTAAAGGACATCAGTATGTTGGGGTTTACACAGTGGTAAAGGACATCAGCATGTTGGGGTCTACACAGTGGTAGAGGACATCAGTATGTTGGGGGCTACACAGTGGTAAAGGGCATCAGTATGTTGTGGTCTACACATTGGTGAAGGCCAGCAGCATGTTGTGGTCTACACAGTGGTAACGGACATCAGTATGTTGTGGTCTACACATTGGTGAAGGCCAGCAGCATGTTGTGGTCTACACAGTGGTAAAGGACATCAGTATGTTGGGGTATACACAGTGGTAGAGGACATCAATATGTTGGGGTCTACACAGTGGTAAAGGACATCAGTATGTTGGGGTATACACAGTGGTAGAGGACATCAGTATGTTGGGGTCTACACAGTGGTAAAGGACATCAGTAGGTTGGGGTCTACACAGTTGTAAAGGACATCAGTATGGTGGGGTCTGCACAGTGGTAAAGGACATCTGTATGTTGGGGTCTACACACTGGTAAAGGACATCAGTATTTTGGGGTCTACACAGTGGTCAAGGACATCAATATGTTGGGGACTACACAGTGGTGAAGGACATCAGTATGTTCGGGTCTACACAGTGGTAAATGACATCATTATGTTGGGGTCTACACATTGGTAAAGGACATCAGTATTTTGGGGTCTACACAGTGGCAAAGGACATCAGTATGTTGGGGTCTACACAGTGGTAAAGAACATCAGTATGTTGGGGTCTACACAGTGGTAAAGGACATCAATATGTTGGGGTCTACACAGAGGTAAAGGACATCAGTATGTTGGGGTCTACACAGTGGTAAAGGACATGGTTTCAAAGGTGTGTGTACTGCTGTTACAAATGTATACCATTCATTGAATTTATTAAAATTGATTGAACATCACAAAATGAAGTCAGTAATCTTTATCATTCCAGAATATACATTTGTTATATATCTTGTACGACTAACAATGTCATCACTACGAGCCGGCTGTATGAGAACTGTTTTGCGATAGTTCAAAATATCTGGATTTATTGTTTCTCACCTTTAGTGGTTCACTTCTTACAAAACAAACAACGGTTCTGTTGTTCCTTTAATGACGAAAGTATCAGCACAAAGCGATATTGATATTGTTTTTGCTACCACAAGCTTGTAAGCTTACACTACAAATATAATCAGAGATTCTGGAATATACTTAAAAGTATCAGAGCGACATGTGTTGACTATGAATGTGTACGTTTACCTCCATTTTACTTTAACAATGCGTATTAATCACATGGCATGACTATCATGGAAGTACTAAAACAACGGAACACGTTTCGTGTAGTATGTTGTTGTTTATATCACAATATTACCTAAACGGGCTTTGAATTGATACTTGGAATGAGATAATTTGATACGCTCTATAAAATCATCATGTGTAGTACTAACCGATCAGAGTAAGAGATTTTCTATGCTATAAAATCCCCTTGTGTGATACCAACACATCATATTCTGCAATCACTATAATATCAACTATATAATTTGTTTGCACCATTGATTGAGGATGTACGTAAGAATCTGAAATACAGCCCCCACTTCATTAAGCATTATATGATACGAGGTGTTGAGAAGGTGAACATGGGCGGGGCTCACTAGTTTGTATGGAATGGATGAAAGCATTACATAACAACCCTTCTCCGTTTGTCTTCTAGCTTAGAAGGTTATTACCAGATAACTGAATTATTCATCAGTGTGTTTGTGCTGCCTACATCAAACAGTGTTTATTACATGTGAATACTTTCCCCGAACAATTGTTTTTCATTAGTCTGGAAGTTTGATAACAAAGGTTTTTGTTCCGGTGATAAAACTGAAGTAATTCTTATTTTAGCGAGATTAGATTGATTAAATAAGAGGTCTGTTTGATCTTCTATATAGAACGATGTATGTGCCTTTAAACAAATATCCCTGGATTTGTCCGTTGGGCATATTGCATTAAGCTTTTTGTCCGATTTATTTTGTAATTTAATGAAAAAATACACGCTTGCAAATATATTTTCTACAATGCATTGCATTATTGTTATACAACAACAAACATTGGGTTGACTATCACAGTGGGTTGACACAGTGGGTTGTCCATCACGGAAGGTTGACTATCACATATGGTTGACCATCACAGTGGGTTGACCATCACAGTGGGTTGTCCATCACAGTGGGTTGGCCATTACAGTGGGTTGTCCATCACAGTGGGTTGTCCATCACAGTGGGTTGTCCATCACAGTGGGTTGACACAGTGGGTTGTCCATCACGGAAGGTTGACTATCACATATGGTTGTCCATCACAGTGGGTTGTCCATCACAGTGGGTTGACACAGTTGGTTGACCATCACGGAAGGTTGACTATCACATATGGTTGACCATCACAGTGGGTTGTCCATCACAGTGGGTTGACACAGTTGGTTGACCATCACGGAAGGTTGACTATCACATATGGTTGACCATCACAGTGGGTTGTCCATCACAGTGGGTTGACACAGT